CAGCGCGTCCTACCTATTTACTTGTCATAAATATAGGTCGGTGCATGCTACGTTAACAAGAACAAATAAATCGGCCAAGAGACAAAAGTCAACTGTCGCTTAAACATGACACAGGAAAACTGTTATAACTTCCTCTACGACGTGTGTACTAACAGGGTCTAGAAAGGTCATGTCATTTTTCAAAGTCTGAACCTTGTCAGTAAAATTTAACTTTCCAAAGGCTGAATGCTGTTAATGAAATCTACCCTTCCTGAATCTGATTCTGGCTTGCGATGATCTTTCCTGTATTACATAACAAATAGTGCATCATTCTTTCCTAATTTAAAATTAATATTTATCCGCCCTGCCAATCACACGGCACGTTTAGTTCTTCCGCTTCTACTTCCGACTCCGACAATACACATTTGGTAACGTCAAGGCGCATGAAAAAACGAAAAGGGTTTCACTTCCGGTTGACATGCGCAGCTCAAAAACTCTTTGCTTAAGCTCTCTAATAAATTAAAACTGACGACGTAGCTTGATGGCAGCCATTTAACCATTATTTGGCCCGTTTTTGTAAAACTGTTTTCGAGAAAAGTTTACCGTCACAATGAGAACATTGAAAACTAAACGTGATGGAGAAAAGAAAAAAACGAAACCTAAAATTGAGATTTCTTTCAAAACACACTTCAAAACTGCCGTCTTCAAAGACTTGCTATATTTTTCAGACGACCATAGAAATGGAGAATGTTGTCGACTGCCAATTAATGGAAGAAAAAAGCAATGGAAAATCTCTGTTTAAAGCAAGTTAATATTTACTTCAGCCACAATGCTCGTGACTTCAAGAACTTCGACTTTAAAGCAGAATCCGACATGCCTGGTAAGTGCTTCGGCGCCTTTCTGGGTTGATCCTTTGTGAAGCATTGTATAGGTACACCACTGTTCGTGCTGTATTTACGCCCCTTGAATGGTTAATAGATTAAACACACACAAAGTCATCTGTCTTTTTTAAAAAGTCTAAGACATAAATGGTACCATTCAAAAGTTCTGTCGAAGAGGTTTAATTTGAATGGCAACATCATACGATTTTATCCACAGGTAAAGAAGTTAGTCCCTCGCCCACAGGTAAAGAAGTTAGTCCCTCGCTATAACTTGGTTTAGATTGCAAAACCCACTCTGGAATGGTTACTTTCTGTCTTTCTAACCTTTCATTACACAAGGCACCGTCTGATTGGATAGTAACGAAAGTCTGATCTTATGACGAGCCCCGTGACAAGCCGATTGCGAAAGTTTCGCCATGCGCCGTGCCTTTTGATTGGCTAGAAGAATCGCCTTCATCCCGTGAGAAGAGGGAAGTTTCTTGAGTGGCCATAATTTTTTGAATAGTAATAATAATAATAATAATAATAATAATAACAATAATGATAATAATAATAATAATAATAATAATAACATGTTTAAACTGGATGACCATTTCAGTTATAAAAACTGCTATCAATATGGGTCCTTTATAAAAATAAATGAATAAATAGATAAAAACTTAATTATATACGAAACTGAGATACATTACATAATTATAATCAATACAAAAAGGTAGCCTCCTTATGAACAAAACTATATACAATCATTAAAAAGGGTAGCCCCCTTATAAAAAAGACCCTCGTAGTCAACTCGAGATTGACTTTAACCCTTTAAGCCCCAGTATCCACATACAAATTCTCCAAACTGATCTCCATACATTTCCTTAAAGAATGAGTTGAGAGAATTTGATAAAAGATCAAGGCATTTTTACTTGGGTGATCATTTTATTAATTCTCATAACTTATCTGTTGATGATGTATGGATATTGTTACTAAAAAATTGATCTTGGTCACTATTGGGACTTTAACGGTTAACAACAGATAACCTATCTGTAGACCTAGTGTCATAGTCATGAGTATCATAAGTTCGCCATTAAAGGGTTAACACTATCCTAGCAGCCGATTTCAGTAGTGTTTGTTGCAGTCAGTGAAATCTCTGGTCTCGAGTTGTCTGATGCCTTCGAACAAAACTTTTTTTATCAAATCATTTAGACTGTTCGCAGGTCCCTATTTTCCCGTAAGATCGTCTAGGTCGAGCGCCTTGCGTTGCGGGCAGACATCATGTACTGAGGAGACAGGCGACGGGGTTTACTGCCCCTCGCCTCTAAGAAGATTTACTCCCATCCCCAGACAGACTCGGAACATTTGAAACCAAGTTGGCCACCTGTAACGCAAACCCGTTCGATCTGGACGATCCTACGGCGAAAGAGGGGACTGGGACTGTTAAACCACTACAAATCATTTTCTGTGTCTATTTGCTTGTAGGAGAGGTAGTCAAACAGGTCAATCACATTATCAGATCCAAAATAGGCGGAGTAAGGTCCGAATACCTGGCTACGAAGGAGAAGAAACTCGAAAAAAGAAGGTCCTTTAAGTATTAATCCTCTCGCCGGGGTGGTTATGCAAATCAGAGTCAACTGGAATCAGTGGGTGTGTGAAGGAAGACCACCATTCGCCACTTTAGAAACGCGAGGGAACTGGAGCCAGAATACGTCCCGCAATTGATTCTGGGATCGTTACTGGGGACGCGTCGGTCAGCTATTGGCCAATTTTTTCCTGTCCCCAGAATTCTTTGCGAAAGTTAACTCGGCTCAGTTTCCTTTTCCTTTTTAAAGTGGCTAGTGGAAAGGAAATATCGCAATTGCTGCCTGGAGTAAGCTTCCCTGGTATGCGGCCATTATATAAATCGTAACGCAACTCACCTACAAAAGGTGGTAAAACACTGCGCAACGGCTCGCTTTCCTCAGTGAATTGTTTAATACGCGGATTTTTGCAGACGTGGATGATCTTTTTATAACCTCTGTGGAAAATTTCAACTTGAAAACAGATTCATTCAGGCAATTTCCGAGTTCCAAAAACTCTCACTTTCAAAACTAGGCTTAGTGCAAAAACCTTTGCTGTGAAAATGAGTTTTAATTTGCATGACAATGAAAAAGCATTTCCATATCAATGGCTACGCACTCAGCCTCGTTTTGAACAAAATGGTAAATGAAAACCGGAGAATAAAAATAGAGTTGTCTTGTATCCTCGTCCTCCAAATAACGTGAAATTAGGCAATTTCAAATCGTAGTCGTAAAGTGACGGCAAAGAAATTGAATAGGCTCGCTATTATATTAACGGTATTCAGAAACGTTTAAGGATAAAGACGTTGATCATAAAAAATGGTGCATCATTCCCATCTAATTTAAAATTAATATTTTCGTGAGGTTTATTAATCGATTCGCCAGAAAATTCTACCTTAGGTCAGACTATTATGTCATTCAAAACTGATAATTATAGAAAACTGAGAACTTTTAATTTATAGGTTACAGGTGTACGAGGTTTTCTGCATAATATTGTTTTTAGATTAAAGTTCTAACTTCTGCCAATTTTTTGTCACCCAAATAAAACTGCAATTTATAATACAAATCTAATAGCAAAAGTTAAAATACGTTTGGAGTTTTTTTTATGTAATAAAGGACGAATAAGAACATCAAGAACGAATAAATCGGGAGACAAACAAATGTTTAGGTCTATCGTTTAAATATCACGCGGAAAAACTATTATAACGTCCTGCACGATACGTATACAGACTGGAAAGATCATGTCATTTTTCAAAGCCTGAATTAAGTTAGTAAAATTTAATTTTCTTGAATCTGATTCTGACTTGCAAATGTGTTGCGCAGAATGTTCTTGACAGCGCATCGGATGTGTCTAAACTTCAAGCAGTAAACCAGAGGAAAAAGGGATGAACTCAAATATAACAGCGTCCGAGCGTAAATTAACAAATGTTCTCTCATTTTATTCACCTGTCCGACCAGGATCACAATAGCGATTGGCAAGTGGTAGGCCAAAAACAACAGATAGACTTAAAGTTTAGCCTTCCTGAATCTGATTCTGACTTGCGAATCTGTTGCGCAGAATGTTCTTGACAGCGCATCGGATGTGTCTAAACTTCCAGCAGTAAATTAGGGGAACGAGTGATGTACTCAAATATGAAAGCGTCTGAGCGTACATCTTGAAATGTTGCCTCCTCTTATTCATCTTTCGACCGGTCAGGATCACAATAGCGACTGGTAAATGGCAGGCCAAAAACAACAGATAGACGTAAAATGTACCAACTGCTGTTTTTCTCAGTCTTTCGAAATTTGAGCGATTTTCTTCGTTCGGTGCCACTGCTTGGGCTGGCTGTGCGTGAACTTGAACGGTGTGGCGACGTACGGCTATGTAAATCTTGAAATAGGTTAGAGCCATGGTCAATAAACAAGCCATTGCCACAGCTACTCCTGCAATGTTACAACGATATTCACTGCTTAAAACACCTTTCAGAGCCAGGAACGCACTGAAAATCCAGCTTAAGATCACTGTAGCTACAACACGCTTGTAAGTCACAATTTCTTGGTAGGTGAGAAGTTCCTGGTGTTTGAAGTGAAGGTGGATAGCAAGGAATCTGTCAAAGCTGATAGCAGTGACACTGAAGAATGAGGCATTACCAAGGATCATTCCTATGACTCTAACTATCTCGTGATAAATTTCCTGGTTGTTAGTGTTTTTCATTTTCATAAGCAGTCGCGCGGTGTACAAAGGCTGGACAAGTAATCCCATACCAAGATCAGAAACAGCCACGCTAAGGATCAATGCCTTTAGAGTCTTTGGCAGTGATGAAGTCCTTCGCAGCGCGAATATTAAGACGATGTTCAACATAACTGTTGCGTAAGACAGGAAGGAATTGACGACGCAGTTTAGGACGAGGGAAGGAGTGAAATCTCTTGCCTCTGTCATTGTGTATCATAACTTCCTTTTTCCAAGAGAACTGGAGCGGAGTTAGTAGGACGTTGGACGAATAGATCGGATGAAGGACTCTCCACGAATGCCGCTACTTTATTCAGCCTTTTTCTCTTTAGAGCTGTTCAAAACCGGAGTCCAGGTGGCCTTGAAAGATGCAACGAGGAACTGTTTTAGGATCGAACGAATGTCCTAACGATTGTCACGTGATGTAACCTTGCTGACGTTTTGAAACGTGTTGCGAACTGGGGTAAATTTTGACGTTAGAAATATGAAAACCTTTGAACGTCAAGGCAATTATATTAAAAGTACATTTCCAATAAACTTCCGTCCTGCAAAGGTGGTGTGCATTATCCAGTATTTTTTTTTTCATGTATTTTTTTTTTCACATTTTGTTAAGTCGCATGGTTTTTATTAGCACAAAGTCAAAGTTAAAGCCCTTCCTAGAAGCCTCAGAAAAACTAATAAACGGGAAGATTTGTTTAACTTCGTATTCTGCATCAGTTTTGCTAGAGTTCTTTGTATATTTTAGGGAAAGAAAATTACTGCTCGTCTTAAAAAAGGGGGAGATAGAGGGTTCCGGATTCAAAAATTTCCACGTCCACACGTATCCGTATTTAAATCGAATTTTCTTACAGGTATCCGGATTCACTCTAGTTCGTAGGACTCCCCTGGGAATATTGGTAGCAGAGGGCTACCAGTGGGTTGATATATTGTTTGTGTAAATGCGTCATTTGAATTCAGCAATTTCCTTGTAATAAGCTCTTAAAGAAAATTTTTCTGCCTCGCTACAATTACTTGTGTGGTGTCAAGGTTAAATTTTCTGGTAGTTTTCTTGTCCTTGTGCTTGTCAAAGTTAGAACACCTCCGGTTTTGAATTGTCGTTTCGCCAACAAGTTGTTTCGCCTACTCTGAGGTCGATTCGCCTGCAAGTTCTTAATTGATAGGCTTCATTGACGTTTTACATAATTTACAATCGTCGCTAAAGAAAAATTACAAAATGCGGCCGGATTTGCGATGGATTTTGTGATTTAATATTTTGCCATTTGCTTAGCGATTAACTTGCGTGATCAAACTTTTGTTTTTTTGAAAAAATATTTCAAGAATCAACATCTCTGTGAGTATTATGTTTTACCGATTAGTTACAATCTATTTTTGCACTTCGATAGATGCAGTCGGCGTTGGTTGTACAGCTGTATGCTATATCCCATTTTATAAATTAACGTAGATAGTAGGTGCGCTCTGATTGGCCGAGAGGCGTGTTTGTATGAAAGTATGTAAACGTGGTTGTGACGTCAATGATGTTTTGCACAAATGTGAAAAAGGTTTTGAGTTGAAAAATTCGTCGACTAGTTTACTTTATTTACCCATTTCCTCGTCGGCTGAAACTTGGAAAATCTTTAGAAACATGCTGTTTTAATTTTTTTTTCGCTTGAGCTGACATTGTAAGCGGCAAAAACCCGTATTTTGGAAAGCATCTTTCTTGCAAAACAAGGACTGATTACGCGTACAAGCTTCGTGTACATGACTTCGCGACTGGTAAGAATTTCTCTTTTAATCAGTGCTCTGAACAAGAGAGTTTGGATTTTTTTCTCGGGAAGGTTATTTCATAAAAGCAATAGAAAACGTTTTTTCCTGTGTTTGCATATCCTGATATAAACACTCGAGGGACTGGGAGAATTCTCGACCGTTTTTGCAAACCCTCGACTTCTTCTCATGTTTGCATAACTGTCTCGAATTCTCCCAACCCCTCTCGTGTTTATATCAGGCTATTGAAACACGGAAAACGTTTGCTATTGCTTAAATGCCATTTAAATGCGATAGACGCTCTTGCCAACAGTACGACTTTCAGGGGTCTCCGGGGGGGGGGGGGGGGGGTATTTGTTCCCTTGTTCCCTTCCAGAATTGCCCTATGTTCGCAAGTTCCCACACGTTTTCCTTATTTGTTCCCCTTTTAATAAATTTACTTACCACTTATCACCGCGCTCAACGGCGACTGTTATTACAATTTACTACAGGTATTACAATTCCCGACATTATTACAAATCACGACAGAAGAGGGGACCTTAACTACAGTCTGCAATGACGCACTAAACGCCAAAAGAGCTAGTATACAAGTGGATTTACCATATAGCGTAATTTTTGTATAGAGTTGATCTGAGCCTAAGGACATCTAACAATTAGAAAAATACAAAATTGCGAGGAAATATGTACAAGCATAATTAGCTCGGTGGCTGTGAATTCCTTTTTACGAATCATAAAATGTTAACTCTGTTTTTTAGAGCTTATGGCGCTGATACATTGAAACATTACAGCAAGGAGCCCAAAAATGTGACCGCTTTTAATTTATTCACATTCTTTCATGCAGATTTAATCCAATCAGAAGCCAGCTGGAAACTGCCCTCAACTTCTGACTTCGGCACCTTTGAGTCTTATCGAGAAGAAGAAGGAGTGTATTGCCGCTGATGATGACAATGGACAAGTAGCTGGTTGTTTTCTGTATCATGAGAGTCTTATCATTTATTCAATACTACAGCGCGTCCTACCTATTTACTTGTCATAAATATAGGTCGGTGCATGCTACGTTAACAAGAACAAATAAATCGGCCAAGAGACAAAAGTCAACTGTCGCTTAAACATGACACAGGAAAACTGTTATAACTTCCTCTACGACGTGTGTACTAACAGGGTCTAGAAAGGTCATGTCATTTTTCAAAGTCTGAACCTTGTCAGTAAAATTTAACTTTCCAAAGGCTGAATGCTGTTAATGAAATCTACCCTTCCTGAATCTGATTCTGGCTTGCGATGATCTTTCTTGTATTACATAACAAATAGTGCATCATTCTTTCTTAATTTAAAATTAAAATTTATCCGCCCTGCCAATCACACGGTACGTTAAGTTCTTCCGCTTCTACTTCCGACTCCGACAATACACATTTGGTAACGTCAAGGCGAATGAAAAAGGAAAAAGGGTTTCACTTCCGGTTGACATGCGCAGCTCAAAAACTCTTTGCTTAAGCTCTCTAATAAATTAAAACTGACGACGTAGCTTGATGGCAGCCATTTAACCATTATTTGGCCCGTTTTTGTAAAACTGTTTTCGAGAAAAGTTTACCGTCACAATGAGAACATTGAAAACTAAACGTGATGGAGAAAAGAAAAAAACGAAACCAAAAATTGGGATTTCTTTCAAAACACACTTCAAAACTGCCCTCCTCAAAGACTTGCTATATTTTTCAGACGACCATAGAAATGGAGAATGTTGTCGACTGCCAATTAATGGAAGAAAAAAGCAATGGAAAATCTCTGTTTACGTTAATTTACTTCAGCCACAACGCTCGTGACTTCAAGCACTACGACTTTGAAGCAGAATCCGACATGTCTGGTAAGTGCTGCGGTGCCTTTCTGGGTTGATCCTTTGTGAAGCATTGTATAGGTACACCACTGTCCGTGCTGTATTTACGCCCCTTGAATGGTTAATAGATTAAACACACACAAAGTCATCTGTCTTTTTTAAAAAGTCTTAGGTGAATGGTACCATTCAAAAGTTCTGTCGAAGAGGTTTAATTTGAATGGCAATATCATACGATTTTATCCACAGGTAAAGGAGTTAGTCCCTCGCTATAACTTGGTTTAGATTGCAAAACCCACTCTGGAATGGTTACTTTCTGTCTTTCAAACCTTTCATTACGTAAGGCACCGTCTGATTGGATAGTTACGAAAGTCTGATCTTATGACGAGCCCCGTGACAAGCCGATTGCGAAAGTTTCGCCATGCGCCGTGCCTTTTGATTGGCTAGAAGAATCGACTTGATCCCGTGAGAAGAGGGAGGTTTCCTGAGTGGCCATAATTTTTTAAATAATAATAATAATAATAACAATAATAATAATAATAATAATAATAATAATAATGATAATAATAATAATAATAATAACATGTTTAAACAGGATGACCATTTCAGTTATAAAAACTGCTATCAATATGGGTCCTTTATAAAAATAAATGAATAAATAGATATAAACTTAATTATATACGAAACTGAGATACATTACATAATTATAATCAATAAAAAAAGGTAGCCTCCTTATGAACGAAACTATATACAATCATTAAAAAGGGTAGCCCCCTTATAAAAAAGGCCCTCGTAGTCAACTCGAGATTGACTTTAACCCTTTAAGCCCCAGTATCCACATACAAATTCTCCAAACTGATCTCCATACATTTCCTTAAAGAATTAGTTGAGAGAATTTGATAAAAGATCAAGGCATTTTTACTTGGGTGATCATTTTATTAATTCTCATAACTTATCTGTTGACAATGTATGGATATTGTTAGGAGAAAATTGATCTTGGTCACTATTGGGACTTAAAGGGCTAACAATAGATAACCTATCCTTAGACCTAGTGTCATAGTCATGAATATCATAAGTTCGCCATTAAAGGGTTAACACTATCCTAGCAGCCGATTTCAGTAGTGTTTGTTGCAGTCAGTGAAATCTCTGGTCTCGAGTTGTCTGATGCCTCTGAACAAAACTTTTTTTTATCAAATCATTTAGACTGTTCGCAGTTCCCTATTTTCCCGTAAGATCGTCGAGGTCGAGCGCCATGCGTTGCGGGCAGACATCATGTACTGAGGGGACAGACGACGGGGTTTACTGCCCCCCGCCTCTAAGAAGATTTTACTCCCATCCCCAGACAGACTCGGAACATTTGAAACCAAGTTGGCCACCTGTAACGCAAACCCGTTCGATCTGGACGATCCTACGGCAAAAGAGGGGACTGGGACTGTTAAACCACTTCAAATCATTTTCTGTGTCTATTTGCTTGTAGGAGAGGTAGTCAAAAAGGTCAATCACATTATCAGATCCAAAATAGGCGGAGTAAGGTCCGAATACCTGGCTACGAAGGAGAAGAAACTCGAAAAAAGAAGGTCCTTTAAGTATTAATCCTCTCGCCGGGGTGGTTATGCAAATCAGAGTCAACTGGAATCAGTGGGTGTGTGAAGAAAGACCACCATTCGCCACTTTAGAAACGCGAGGGAACTGGAGCTAGAATACGTCCCGCAATTGATTCTGGAATCGTTACTGGGGACGCGTCGGTCAGCTATTGGCCAATTTTTCCCTGTGCCCAGAATTCTTTGCGAAAGTTAACTCGGCTCAGTTTCCTTTTCCTTTTTAAAGTGGCTAGTAGAAAGGAAATATCGCAATTGCTGCCTGGAGTAAGCTTGCTTTGCATGCGGCCATTATTTAAATCGTAACGCAACTCACCTACAAAAGGTGGTAAAACACTGCGCAACGGCTCGCCTTCCTCACTGAATTGTTTAATACGCGGATTTTTGCAGACGCGGATGATCCTTTTCCATCTACTTATAATGTTAATTGTAGGAAAGATAACCTCTGTGGAAAATTTCAACTTGAAAACAGATTCATACAGGCAATTTCCGAGTTCCAAAAACTCTCACTTTCAAAACTAGGCTTAGTGCAAAAACCTTTGCTGTGAAAATGAGTTTTAATTTGCATGACAATGAAAAAGCATTTCAATATCAATGGCTACGCACTCAGCCTCGTTTTGACCAAAACGGCAAATGAAAACCGGAAAATAAAAATAGAGTCGTCTTGTATCCCCGTCCTCCAAATAACGTGAAATTAGGCAATTTCAAATCGTAGTCGTAAAGTGGCGGCAAATAAATTACTTAAGCTCGCTATTATATTAACGGTATTCAGAAACTTTTAAGGATGATGACGTTGATCCTAACAAATCGTGCATCATTCCTTTCTAATTTAAAATTAATATTTTCGTGAGGTTTATTAATCGATTCGCCAGAAAATTCTACCTTAAGCCAGACTGTTATATGTCATTCAAGAATGATTATTATAGAAAACTGAGAACTTTTAATTTATAGGTTACAGGTGTACGAGGTTATCTGCATAATATTGTTTTTAGATTAAAGTTCTACCTTCTGCCAATTACTTGTCACCCAAATAAAAGTGCAATTCATAATACAAATCTAATAGCAAAAGTTACATGACGTTTGGCGTTTTTATATGTAATAAAGGACGAATAAGGCCATCAAGAACGAATAAATCGGGAAACAAACAAAAGTTTAGGTCCATCTTTTAAATATGACACAGGAAAACCGTTATAACTTCCTGCACGATGCGTATGCAGACTAGAAAGGTCATGTCATTTTTCAAAGGCTGAATCAAGTTGGTAAATTTAACCTTCTTGAATCTGATTCTGACTTGCGAATATGTCACGCAGAATGTTCTTGATAGCGCATCGGATGTGTCTAAACTTCCAGCAGTAAACCAGAGGAACGAGGGATGAACTAAAATATAACAGCGTCCGAGTGTAAATTAAGAAATGTTCTGTCATTTTATTCACCTGTCCGACCAGGATCACAGTAGCGATTGGCAACTGGCAGGCCAAAAACAACAGATTGACTTAAAGTTTAGCCTTCCTGAATCTGATTCTGACTTGCGAATATGTTGCGCAGAATGTTCTTGACAGCGCATCGGAGGCATCTAAACTTCCAGCAGTAAACCAGAGGAACGAGGGATGAACTCAAATATAACAGCGTGTGAGTGTAAATCATCAAATGTCTTCCCATCTTATTCTTCTGTCGTCCGGTCAGGATCACAAAATCGATTGGTAAATGGCAGGCCAGAAACAACAGATAGACGTAAAATGTACCAACTGCTGTTTTTCTCAGTCTTTCGAAATTTGAGCGATTTTCTTCGTTCGGTGCCACTGCTTGGGCTGGCTGTGCATGAACTTGAACGGTGTGGCGACGTACGACTATGTAAATCTTGAAATAGATAAGAGCCATGGTCAATAGACAAGCCATTGCCACAGCTACTCCTGCAATGTTATAAGGATATTCTGGACTGCGTAAAACACCGTTCAGAGCCAGGAACGCACTGAGAATCCAGCTTAAGATCACTGTAACTACAACACGCTTGTAAGTCACAATTTCTTGGTAGGTGAGAAGTTCGTGGTGTTTGAGGTGAAGGTGGATAGCAAGGAATCTGTCAACGCTGATGGCAGTGACACTGAAGAATGAGGCATAAGCAAGGGTGCGTCCTATGGCTGTAACTATTTTGTTATAAGTTCCTTGGTCGTTAGTGTTTTTTATGTCCATAATCATGCGAGCAATGTACAAAGGCTGGGCAAGTAATCCCACACCAAGATCAGAAATAGCCACGCTAAGGATCAATGCCTTTAGAGTCTTTGGCAGTGATGAAGTCCTTCTCAGCGCGAATATTAAGACGATGTTTAACATCACTGTTGCGTAAGACAGGAAGGAATCGACGACGCAGTTTAGGACGAGGGAAGGAGTGAAATCTCTTGCCTCTGTCATTGTGTATTATAACTTCCTTTTTCCAAGAGAACGGGAGCGGAGTCAGTAGTACGTTGGACGAATAGATCGGATGAAGGACTCTCCACGAATGCTTCTACTTTGTTCCACTTTTCCTCTTAAGAGCTGTTCAAAACCGGAGTCCAGGTGGCCTTGAAAGATGCAACGAGGAACTATTTTAGGATCGAACGAATGTCCTAACGATTGTCACGTGATGTAACCTTGCTGACGTTTTGAAACGTGTTGCGAACTGGGGTAAATTTGGACGTTAGAAATATGAAAACCTTTGAACGTCAAGGCAATTATATTAAAAGCACATTTCCAATAAACTTCCGTCGTGCAAAGGTGGTGTGCATTATCCAGTATTTTTTTTTTCATGTTTTTTTTCACATTTTGTTAAGTCGCATGGTTTTTGTTAGCACAAAGTCAAAGTTAAAGCCCTTCCTAGAAGCCTCAGAAAAACTAATAAACGGGAAGATTTATTTAACTTCGTATTCTACATCAGTTTTGCTAGAGTTCTCTGTTTATTCTAGGGAAAGAAAATTACTGCTCGTCTTAAAAAAGGGGGAGATAGAGGGTTCCGGATTCAAAAATTTCCACGTCCACACGTATCCGTATTTAAATCGAATTTTCCTACAGGTATCCGGATTTACTCTAGTTCCTAGGACTCCCCTGGGAATATTGGCAACAGAGGGCTACCAGTGGGTTGATATATTGTCTGTGTAAATGCGTCATTTGAATTCAGCAATTTCCTTGTAATAAGCTCTTAAAGAAGATTTATGTACCACGCTACATTAACTTGTGTGGTGTCAAGGTTAAATTTTCTGGTAGTTTTCTTGTCCTTGTGCTTGTCAAAGGTAGAACACCTCCGGTTTTGAATTGTCGTTTCGCCAACAAGTTGTTTCGCCTACTCTGAGGTCGATTCGCCTGCAAGTTCTTAATTGATTGGCTTCATTGACGTTTTATATAACTTACAATCGTCGCTAAAGGTAAAATTACAAAATGCAGCCGGATTTGCGATGGATTTTGTGGTTTAACATTTTGCCATTTGCTCAGTCGATTAACTTGCGTGATCAAACTTGTGGTTTTTTGAAAAAAATTTTTCGAGAATCAACATTTCTGTGACTATTATGTTTTACTGATTAGTTACAATCTATTTTTTCACTTCGATAGATGTAAAAATAAATTTAACGTCTATTGTATTTTACTGTTACCAAATTAATATTTTTGCGTTTGACATAGAATTGTCACTTTGAATTATCACTTTGAATTATCACTCTGTCAATGATCAACAATTAAGGCTAAACAGTCATGAAGGACGGCATTCTAGCCTACCGGCCCAATATTTGTTATTCAGTCAGAGTGCAGCATATATAACTGAAATGCAGTCGCACCCTATAGATGGGAAACGCTACCTCTTCTGCGGCATTTAATCTGGCGTCAATGAATATTAATTATATTTTGCTCTGTTCATATTCTTCTTTCCATTACGGCATCTCTGAGGAACACTGTGACCCTGATTGCTCTCCGTAACGTAAGTTCTCTTTATCCACCGACGAAACTGTTGTTTCAATGCCTGGCGATCACTGATGTTGGGGTTGGTCCCGGGGTGGGGGTGGGGGGTACTCCCTATAATGGCCTATACGGGGAGGTTCCGCCCGAAAGGGGTTACCTTTTTCAGGCTTCCGATATATGAAAGGCTAGGGATTTCGCTAGTTTCTTACAACACGATATTTATCAAGCTTCGTCTACTACATCCAACCTCGTTCCCAGGTTCTCTCTGGTGCAGTCGGCGTTGGTTGTACAGCTGTATGCTTTATCCCATTTTATAAAATAACGTAGATAGTAGGCGCGCTCTGATTGGCCGAGAGGCGTGTTTGTATGGAAGTATGTAAACGTGGTTGTGACGTCAGTGATGTTTTACACAAATTTGAAAAAGGTTTTGAGTTGAAAAATTCGTCGACAAGTTTACTTTATTTACCCATTTCCTCGTCGGCTGATACTTGGAAAATCTTTAGAAACATGCTGTGTTAATTTTTTTTCGCCTGAGCTGACATTTTAAGCGGCAAAAACCCGTATTTTGGAAAGCATCTTTCTTGCAAAACAAGGACTGATTACTCGTACAAGCTTCGTGTACAAGACTTCGCGACTGGTAAGAATTTCTCTTTTAATCAGTGCTCTAAACAAGAGAGTTTGGATTTTTTTCTCGGGAAAGTTATTTCATAAAAGCAATAGAAAACGTTTTTTGCTGTGTTTGCATATCCTGATATAAACACTCGAGGGACTGGGAGAATTCTCGACCGTTTTTGCAAACCCTGGACTTCGTCTCGGGTTTGCATAACTGTCTCGAATTCTCCCAACCCCTCTCGTGTTTATATCAGGCTATTGAAACGCGGAAAACGTTTTCTATTGCTTAAATGCCATTTAAATGCGATAGACGCTCTTGCCAACAGTACGACTTTCAGGGGTCTCCGGGGGGGAGGGGGGGGGGTATTTGTTCCCTTGTTCCCTTCCAGAATTGCCCTATGTTCGCAAGTTCCCACACGTTTTCCTTATTTGTTCCCCTTTTAATAAATTTACTTACCACTTATCACCGCGCTCAACGGCGACTGTTATTACAATTTACTACAGGTATTACAATTCCCGACATTATTACAAATCACGACAGAAGAGGGGACCTTAACTACAGTCTGCAATGACGCACTAAACGCCAAAAGAGCTAGTATACAAGTGGATTTACCATATAGCGTAATTTTTGTATAGAGTTGATCTGAGCCTAAGGACATCTAACAATTAGAAAAATACAAAATTGCGAGGAAATATTTACAAGCATAATTAGCTCGGTGGCTGTGAATTCCTTTTTACGAATCATAAAATGTTAACTCTGTTTTTTAGAGCTTATGGCGCTGATACATTGAAACATTACAGCAAGGAGCCCAAAAATGTGACCGCTTTTAATTTATTCACATTCTTTCATGCAGATTTCATCCAATTAGAAGCCAGCTGGAAACTGTCCTCAACTTCTGACTTCAGCACCTTTGAGTCTTATCGAGAAGAAGAAGAAGTGTATTGCCACTGATGATGACAATGGACAAATAGCTGGTTGTTTTCTGTATCATGCGAGTCTTATCTTTTATTCAATACTACAGCGCGTCCTACCTATTTACTTGTCATAAATATAGGTCGGTGCATGCTACGTTAACAAGAACAAATAAATCGGCCAAGAGACAAAAGTCAACTGTCGCTTAAACATGACACAGGAAAACTGTTATAACTTCCTCTACGACGTGTGTACTAACAGGGTCTAGAAAGGTCATGTCATTTTTCAAAGTCTGAACCTTGTCAGTAAAATTTAACTTTCCAAAGGCTGAATGCTGTTAATGAAATCTACCCTTCCTGAATCTGATTCTGGCTTTCGATGATCTTTCCTGTATTACATAACAAATAGTGCATCATTCTTTCCTAATTTAAAATTAATATTTATCCGCCCTGCCAATCACACGGCACGTTTAGTTCTTCCGCTTCTACTTCCGACTCCGACAATACACATTTGGTAACGTCAAGGCGCATGAAAAAACGAAAAGGGTTTCACTTCCGGTTGACATGCGCAGCTCAAAAACTCTTTGCTTAAGCTCTCTAATAAATTAAAACTGACGACGTATATCAATAACTACGGACTTAGCCTCGCTTTGAACAAAACGGCAAATGAAAACCTGAAAATAAAAATAGAGTCGTCTTGTATCCCCGTCCTCCAAATAACGTGAAATTAGGCAATTTCAAATCGTAGTCGTATAGTGACGGCAAAGAAATTGCTTAAGCTCGCTATTATATTAACGGTTTTAAGAAACTTTTAAGGATGATGACGTTGATCATAACAAATCGTGCATCATTCCTTTCTAATTTAAAATTAATATTTTTGTGAGGTTTATCAATCGATTCGCCAGAAAATTCTACCTTAAGTCAGACTGTTATATGTCATTCAAGAATGATAATTATAGAAAACTGAGAACTTTTAATTTATAGGTTACAGGTGTACGAGGTTATCTGCATAATATTGTTTTTAGATTAAAGTTCTACCTTCTGCCAATTTTTGGTCACCCAAATAAAAGTGCAATTTATAATACAAATCTAATAGCAAAAGTCACAGTACGAATAAAGGACGAATAAGAACATCAAGAACGAATAAATCGGGAGACAAACAAATGTTTAGGTCTGTCGTTTAAATATGACACGGGAAAACTATTATAACGTCCTGCACGATACGTATACGGACTAGAAAGGTCATGTCATTTTTCAAAGCCTGAATTAAGTTAGTAAAATTTAACCTTCTTGAATCTGATTCTGACTTGCAAATGTGTTGCGCAGAATGTTCTTGATAGCGCGTCGGATGCGTCTAAACTTCCAGCAGTAAACCAGAGGAAAAAGGGATGAACTCAAATATAACAGCGTCCGAGCGTAAATTAACAAATGTTCTCTCATCTTATTCACATGTCCGACCAGGATCACAAAAGCGATTGGCAAGTGGCAGGCCAAAAACAACAGATAGACTTAAAGTTTAGCCTTCCTGAATCTGATTCTGACTTGCGAATATGTTGCGCAGAATGTTTTTGACAGCGCATCGGATGTGTCTAAACTTCCAGCAGTAAACCAGAGGGACAAGGGATGAACTCAAATATAACAGCGTCTGAGTGTAAATCTTGAAATGTTGTCTCTTCTTATTCATCTTTTGTCCGGTCAGGATCCCAATAGCGCTTGGTAAATGGCAGGCCAAAAACAACAGATAGACGTAAAATGTACCAACTGCTGTTTTTCTCAGTCTTTCGAAATTTGAGCGATTTTCTTCGTTCGGTGCCACTGCTTGGGCTGGCTGTGCATGAACTTGAACGGTGTGGCGACGTACGGCTATGTAAATCTTGAAATAGATTAGACCCATGGTAAAGAGACAAACCAATCCCACGACACCCCTGCAAGATTAGAAACATGTTCGCTGCTTAAAACTTCGAATTCGGTTAGTGCCAGGGACGCGCCGAGAAGCCAGCTTATGATCACCGTAGCCACAACACGCTTGTAAGTCACAATTTCTTGGTAGGTGAGAAGGTCCTGGTGTTTGAGGTGAAGGTGGATAGCAAGGAATCTGTCAACGCTGATAGTTGTGACACCGAAGAATGAGACATTAGCAAGGGTGCGTCCTATGACGTTAACTATTTCGTTATAAGTTTCCTGGTTGTTAGTGTTTTTCATTTTCATTTTCATAACCAGGCGCGCGGTGTACAAAGGCTGGACAAGTATTCCCATACCAATATCAGAAACAGCCACGCTAAGGATCAATGCCTTTAGAGTCTTTGGCAGTGATGAAGTCCTTCGCAGCGCGAATATTAAGAGGATGTTCAACATCACTGTTGCGTAAGACAGGAAGGAATTGACGACGCAGTTTAGGACGAGGGAAGCCTTTTTCATTGTGACCATAAGAACTTTAGCGGAGTCAGGATGGCACGCTCTCTTAAATAAGTTTGCGTTTATGAGGAATACTTTAGATGAATCGATCGGATGAAGAACTCTCTCCCTTCACTAACGCCTCTGCCTCAGTCTTTCCTTCTTAGAGCTGTTCAAAACCGGAGTCCAGGTGCCCTTGAAAGATGCAACAAGGAACTGTTTTAGGATCGAATTAATGTCCTAGGGATGGTCACGTGATGAAACCTTCTTGCTGACGTTTTGAAACGTGTCACAAACTGGGGTAAATTTGGACGTAAGAAATATGAAAACCTTTGAACGTCAAGGCAATTAGATTAACCCTTTTAAGCCCTAAGAGTGATCAGCATCAAATTTCTCCTTGTGATATCAATGCTTTGTAAAACAGAGTGGTCATGAGAATTACGGACATGATCACACAAGATGAATTTGCTTGATATTTTATCAACTTCTCCCCACTACGTCTCTAGGAAATGAACAGAGGAAAAAGTGAGAATTCAAATTTTGATCTTAGGGTTTAAAGGGTTAAAAGCCTATTTCCAGTAAACTCCCGTCGTGTAAAGGTGGTGTGCATTATCCGATGTTTTTGTTTTGTTTTGTTTTGTTTTTTCACATTATTTGTCTTGTTGCATGGTTTTTGTTAGCACAGATTAGTTTAACTTCGTATTCCCCATGAACTTTCAGGTGTTTCCCATTTTTTCATTTCCCCAAGCCTTGGGGTGAAGTGTGAATTATTGCAGTGGTCTTGCTTACAACCTCGTTCCCAGAGTCCTTAAACTCGACTTCCTCCGTCGAACGAGAATGAGGTTGTTTGAGTATTCCTAAGCTCATTAATAATTCAAGAAGAGAAAACAAAAACAAGGAAATCATTACCGTATCGGAGGTTGGACAAAATTAATTACCATAAAATTTTGGGAATTTTTATTGCTTTGAATTTCTTCAAGAATCATTGTTCATTGAGAAGCTGTGTTAAACACAACATTTAGTGTTTTATCTAATATCCAGACGACTTAAGATGTTCGGTACAGCATAGTCCCTAGCTGAGAATTTAGGACATGATCACACAGAATGTATTTGCTTGATATTTTATCAACTTCTCCTCACTACTTCTATAGTAAATGAATAGGGGCGACAAAGGAAAATTTTAATATTGATCCTAGGATTTAAAGGGTTAAGGATGATGACTTTGATCGCTCTTCATGATCTTAACTTTATTAGTTAAAACTAGTACTTACATAACAAATCGTGCATCATTCTTTCTTAATTTAAAATTAATATTTTCGTGAGGTTTATTAATCGATTCGCCAGAAAATTCTACCTTAAGTCAGACTGTTATACATGTATGTCATTCAAAAATGATAATTATAGAAAACTAAAAATTTCTAATTTATATGTTACAGGTGTACGAGGTTATCGGCGTACTATTGTTTTTAAATTAAAGTTCTAACTTGTGCTAATTTTTTGTCACCCAAATAAAAGTGCAATTTTTAATACAAATCGAATAGCAAAAGTTACACTACGTTTGGCGTTTTTATATGTAATAAAGGACGAATAAGGCCATCAAGAACGAATATATCGGGAAACAAACATATTTAGGTCTATCGTTTAAATATGACACAGGAAAACTGTTATAACTTCCTGCACGATACGTATACAGACTAGAAAGGTCATGTCATTTTTCAAAGGCTGAATCAAGTTAGTAAAATTTAACCTTCGTGAATCTGATTCTGACTTGCGAATGTGTTGCGCAGAATGTTCTTGATATCGCATCGGATGCGTCTAAACTTCCAGCTGTAAACCAGAGGAAAAAGGGATGAACTCAAATATAACAGCGTCCGACGAAAAATTCAGAAATGTTCTCTCGTCTTAATCACCTGTCCGACAAGGATCACAAAAGCGATTGGCAAGTGGTAGACCAAAAACAACAGATAGACTTAAAAGTTAGCCTTCCTGAATCTGATTCTGACTTGCGAATATGTTGCGCAGAATGTTCTTAAAAGCGCATCGGATGTGTCTAAACTTCCAGCAGTAAACCAGAGGAACGAGGGATGAACTCAAATATAACAGCGTCTCAGCGTAGATCTTGAAATGTCGTCTCTTCTTATTCGTCTTTTGTCCGGTCAGGATCACAATAGCGCTTGGTAAATGGCAGGCCAAAAACAACAGATAGACGTAAAAGGTACCAACTGCTGTTTTTCTCACTCTTTCGAAAATTGAGCGATTTTCTTCGTTCGGTGCCACTGCTTGGGCTGGCTGTGCATGAACTTGAACGGTGTGGCGACGTACGACTATGGAAATCTTGAAATAGATTAGACCCATAGTAAGGAGACAAACCAATACCACTGTCACCCCTGCAAGGTTGAAAACATTTTCGTGGCTTAAAACACCGGTTAGGGCCAGGGAAGCGCCGAGAAGCCAGCTTAAGATCACTGTAGCCACAATACGCTTGTAAGTCACAATTTCTTGGTAGGTGAGAAGGTCCTGGTGTTTGAGGTGAAGGTGGATAGCAAGGAATCTGTCAACGCTGATAGTTGTGACACCGAAAAATGAGACATTAGCAAGGGTGCGTCCTATGACGTTAACTATTTCGTTATAAGTTTCCTGGCTGTTAGTGTTTTTCATTTTCATTTTCATAACCAGGCGCGCGGTGTATAAAGGCTGGACAAGTATTCCCATACCAATATCAGAAACAGCCACGCTAAGGATCAATGCCTTTAGAGTCTTTGGCAGTGATGAAGTCCTTCGCAGCGCGAATATTAAGAGGATGTTCAACATCACTGTTGCGTAAGACAGGAAGGAATTGACGACGCAGTTTAGGACGAGGGAAGGAGTGAAATCTCTCATTGTGTATTATAACTTCCTTTTCTCTCCAAGAAAAAGAAGCGGAGTCAGTAGGGTATGCTCTCTTGAATAAATATACGTTTGTGAGTAATACGTTGGACGAATAGATGGGATGAAGGACTCTCCACGAATTCCTCTCCTTTATTCCGCCTTTCCTCTTTAGAGCTGCTCATAACCGGAGTCCAGGTGGCCTTGAAAGATGCAACAAGGAACTGTTTTAGGATCAAACAAATGTCCTAAAGATTGTCACGTGATGAACCTCCTTGCTGACGCTTTGAAACGTGTTGCAAACTGGGGTAGATTTGGACGANGCTAAGGATCAATGCCTTTAGAGTCTTTGGCAGTGATGAAGTCCTTCGCAGCGCGAATATTAAGAGGATGTTCAACATCACTGTTGCGTAAGACAGGAAGGAATTGACGACGCAGTTTAGGACGAGGGAAGGAGTGAAATCTCTCATTGTGTATTATAACTTCCTTTTCTCTCCAAGAAAAAGAAGCGGAGTCAGTAGGGTATGCTCTCTTGAATAAATATACGTTTGTGAGTAATACGTTGGACGAATAGATGGGATGAAGGACTCTCCACGAATTCCTCTCCTTTATTCCGCCTTTCCTCTTTAGAGCTGCTCATAACCGGAGTCCAGGTGGCCTTGAAAGATGCAACAAGGAACTGTTTTAGGATCAAACAAATGTCCTAAAGATTGTCACGTGATGAACCTCCTTGCTGACGCTTTGAAACGTGTTGCAAACTGGGGTAGATTTGGACGAAAGAAGTATGAAAACCTTTGAACGTCAAGCAATTACATTAAAATCCTATTTCCAATAAACTCCCGACGTGGAGGTGGTGTGCATTACCCGATGTTTTCTTGTTTTGTTTTTTTTTCACATTTTGTCCAGTCGCATGGTTTTTGTTAGCACAGATTAGTTGAACCTCGTATTCTCCATCACTCTTGCTTGAAGTCTATGTTTATTCTAGAGGAAAAAAAATTAATGCTCATCTTGAAAGAGAGAAACAAATTGATAGATTACCATATTCGTTTAAAAGAAAATGATTTATCTTTCTCGAGAGCTCCAGCCTTAAGGCTGGTAATGTGCGCGGTCTGATCATGGATGTAATTATGTACAGTAAGGATGCAATAATAAGGAAAAAACTTAAACGCTGTAAGTCTCGTGATCCAGACTAGGTAGACAGCAAACAATCAGGTTTTGTAAAGATAACATAAATATTACTTTGTTCTTGAAACATGCGTTATTATTGCTTTAAATAAAGACAGGTTAATTCTTGTCACCAATCTGCCTTATAAAGCGTTGATACTATTCAAAAGTAGGTTGATTTTGATCGTCCGGGTGAACGTAGTCCTGAAATGACTCCTGGGTTCAGACCTTTCACAGTTTCACCGTTGATACTATTGCAAGGAAAAAATGGAATCTGATCACTCTAAAGGATTAGAGGGTTAAAAACGGAGGTGTTCTACCTTCGATAAACAGAAGGACGGGCAAAATGTCATAGAAAAGTTAATACCAAATGTAACTTGACAATAACACACAAGTTATTGTAGCGCGGTATGAGATACTGCTTTTTTTAAGAGCTTATTACGTGGAAATTGCTGAATACGACAAATAACGCGTTTACGCAAACAATATATTAACCCACTGGAAGCCCTGTGAATTATTTTCTGCCTGTCTTACTGAGATAACACAAGATATAATAACGAGCTGATGAATTCAGTCAAAGTATAGTAACATAATAATTAATTAAGAGACGGTCGCGCCTTTAATTTATAGATGGGGAACGAATCCGAAGAGGAAAACGCTACTTCTTCCGCGACATTTAATCTAACGACAGTGTCTATTATTTTTTGCTCTTTTAATATTCTTCTTTCCATCACGGCATCTCTGGGGAACGCTCTGATCCTGATTGCTCTCCGTAACGTAAGTTCTCTTTATCCACCGACGAAACTGTTGTTTCAATGCCTTGCAATGACTGGTTTTGGCGTTGGTCTTACTTCGCAGCCATTCTATGCCATCCACGTCTTATACTCTGCGATGAACGTCAACCGGGATATCTTTCTTTTTTCCTGTATAAGTTGGGCTTTATCAATTTGTCTTTGTGGAGTTTCCGTGTTCACAACGACTGCTCTAAGTGCGGACAGACTTCTCGCCCTTTTGTTGAGGCTAAGGTACAGGCACGTCGCCGGGGGGGGGGGTACTCCCTATTAGGGCTTTATTGGGGCGGGGGGGCCAGCAGGGGTTTTTTTTTCGGGATGTTTGTCTTAAAAGGGGTAGGGGTTGGAGGGCCCGGGCCGTCCCTCCTTCCCAGGGAATATATCAGGACCCCCCCCGGGGCAGTTGTTAACCCTAAGGGAGGTTCGGGTGCTTCTTTT